TTAGGACTTAGGGTTTAGGACTTTGGGTTTAGGGTTTAGGGTTCAGGGCTTAGGGTTTAGGGTTAGGGTTTAGGGTTAGGGGTTAGGATTCAGGGTCACTCCTAGGTAGTATTAATAGGGAGACCCCTTAAAGGGGGGTCCCCTGCTGAAGGGGCCTAAATAAATACCAATACTAGTTTGGAGGGGCTCCTTGTTGTAATTGTGGTATGATGGGCCCCAAAACCCTACTCTAATTATTAAGGCCCTTAGATTAGCAGTTCGGGGACGGCTCAGAGGGCTTAGGGCTTAAGGAAGACGGTTTGGGGTTTAGGGTTCAGGGCTTTAGGGTTTGGGGTTTAGGGCTTTAGGGTTTGGAGTTTAGGGGTTTAGGGCTTGGGGCTTAGGGAAGAGATGGAAAAAAGAAGCCTGACTTCCTAGAGATCTACGATCCTGAGGTCAGGAGCTCTAAAACCATTGACTCACAATTCCAGATATTTATGCCATGGAAACACTTATCTGAAAAACCCTAGTCCTTGAACCCTATAGACCCTAAACCTTAAACCTAGTCCTGAAACCCGAATCGCCAAACCCTAAACCCTAAACCCTAGACCCTGAACCCTCCATAAGCCCTTTGGGGTAGCCGGATGCCTTCAACCGGTCGGCTCCGAACCCGAAATCGGGTTTGGGGTTTAGGGTTTAGGGTTTAGGGCTTATTTGGGATTTAGGGTTTAGGGTGAAGGGCTTACTTGGGATTTAGGGTTTAGGGTTTAGGGTTTAGGGCTTACTTGGGATTTAGGGTTTAGGGCTTGCTTGGGGTTTAGGGTTTAGGGTTTAGGGTTTAGGGCTTACTTGGGATTTAGGATTTAGGGTTTAGGGCTTGCTTGGGGTTTAGGGTTTAGGGCTTACTTGGGGTTTAGGGTTTAGGGCTTACTTGGGGTTTAGGGTTTAGGGCTTACTTGGGATTTAGGGTTTAGGGCTTACTTGGGGTTTAGGGTTTAGGGCTTACTTGGGGTTTAGGGTTTAGGGTTTACTTGGGGGATCATGGGACTTAGTCAGTTATTAACGTTGTAAGTACCCTAGTTGCGGACATAAGTATGTACAGCTATAGTTACCTTATCTACAACCCGAGTTACTATAAGTCCCGCGATGATTCAAGCAGGGTCGTAGGTTGTAGGACTTTTTGGTTTAGGGTCTCGAGGTTCAGGTAGTGGGCTTAGGGTTCAGGGATTGGGGTCCTGAAAAAGAGCGCGCGCCTAGGGTGCCAGGCATGTTTAGTAAAGTTTAGCATATGATAACATAACCTATCCCGGTACCGATACCCCGTTGTACTTGTTGAGTCCTCATTTTACATCCTAAACAACTTCAAAACCCTTCTAGAAACCCCATTCGCATTCGAGTTAGTAAAGCCATAGAGTAAACTCGACTTGTTGGGCGAATTCGGGCCAATTCCTGCAGCAAGCAGAGCCATTACAGTAACCTTCTGCGCACCAAGCCTTACAAGCTCTAGACCCTAATTAAACCAGAAACCCTAAACGTAGGTGCAGCAGAAAATGATGGAGAACCGCTTTCCAGTCTCAGAAAACTGGAAAAGACAGTGGCGGAGATCTCGACAGGTCGATGCCAAAGCTGGAGCTCCGCATCCACATCCTGGTCCTTCAATGACCAGCACTGCAAGTTCCACCTCTCAGCAGCACCTGCGAGTGTTGGCAAAAAACGGCGGCCTCTCCGCCTTTCCTGCCAAAGCGGAGGAGTGTGCAGGAACGGTTCTTGATCCGAGCAAACACCGTGTACATACGGTGGTGAGACAAGCCTTCATCGACCAGCTGCGACATGCGGAGGCTCCGACAGCCCAGAGGTCATGCAGGCTCTTGCAGTCCTTCTGCAGCACCCGCCGCAAATCCACAGTGGATACGGCCCGAACCAGCTGGGGACTGGTGGCGCTTCCCTTGGAACGGCGCCAGGGAGGATAATGCAGGACCGCAGCAAGAGAGGGGTGGCACGGGATGCATTTAGAAGCATTGCGCTTGATTCTCTGCAAGCCCTTTGCCCTAGACCACGAGAACTGGGCAACCGGGTGCTGAGGCTCGTTTGATTGTAGGCCCCGGTCAGCCCAATGTCGTCCATCGACCAGAGCGGAGCTGACCCGCGGCTTCTGGGCCGGGAAAGCTTGCCGCCTGGACCTCACACCCAGAGCCCTAAACCCTAAACACAAACCCTGAAAGCCCCGAGATTCTTTCAGCAAAGTCTTGAAGCCACAAACCTAAAGCCTACAGCCCCAAAAGACCTTACGAATTCTTAGATTTAGATTTTAGGGTATGGGGTGTAGAGCTTGGGTACAAAATCCTCTTATTGCCCACGGCATGGCAATCACTGGTTCATTGAATAACAGTGCTTGATAGGCATTGAGCTTTTTCAGATGCTAGGCGACGCCAATATCCCTCTACGGGATTCTTCGGGCTCTGGCAGTGTAGGGATGGGTAGGGTGTAGGACCCTTGTATCGGTTTAGTTGCTACTGTTGCACAGTAGCTTTAGCCTAGGGCCTCAACAATCCAAACCCTAAACCCTAAACCCTAAACCTTAAACCCCTAAACCCCTAAACCCTAAACCCTAAACCCTATACCCTCAAACCTTGGGTTCTAAAGCACTAAACCCCAAGCCCTAAACCTAAACCCTAACTCCCCCAACAAAACAACATAGAAGCCTAAATCATGGGTCAGAAGACTATGCAACTATACATGAATTACAGTCTCTCCTATACCAAAGACTCTAGTCTTGCAGCGAAGGTAGAGGGCGTTGTCTTCCGGCTTGCCGTGGACATCCGCGCCTCATTTCAACCTCATGGGGCCTTGTGCTGTGAAGATGCGTGGGACCTTGTTTTAAGCGGCGCCTATGGCTTTATAAGGGCTCCTTTATGGGTTCTCGGGATTTGGGGCTTCGGGCGTAGTGTCTGAGGGTTATTTAGATTTTAGGGTTCAGGGTTTAGGAACGTGATGTCCAGACCTTCCAAACCCAAAGCACCAAAACCGTAGTTCTCAAGGCCTCTGCCCGCGCTGCCAAGCCCCAAAAGCCTACTACAGGGGCCTCAATAATTACCTATATTATGTTGGGGGGGTTCCTTATTATAGCTTATTTTAATTATGGTAGAATATCCCCCCAAACCCTATTCTAATTATTAAGGCCCCTACATTACACTCCTGCGCGCTTTACACCCGGACGCTTTCAACCCGAACCCCTCCACACCCTTCGCCCCCCAGACCCTCAGCCAATAGAGGTCTAAACCCCAAATCAAGCCAGCGAGATGTTCTGAAAGCCGGGCCTAGATGAAGGAGTAGGGGCTTTCACTCTCACATGTTGCACATCATGCGACCATAACTTTGATCTGCGATGATGCTACAGCGCTCTCGGAAGTTTGACGTGGGCCTAAACGAACTGTAGGGGATGTGCGGGAATGTTCCACTGGAGTTACGCAGGGGTTCCAGCGTCAGATTGATTTTCTTGACTTAGGGGGTTGAGGGTGTGGTGCAGGTTTGTGTTACGTCGACTGCCCTCTTAACCTTAAACTCGCCCAACCCTATACTAAGGCCCCAGGGCTCAGGGTGAATCCTTTTTACATTTGTGGTTTGGGCTTCCTATCAATGCAGATGGAAGCCATGACAAGGATCCATCTTGTTCCCCCTACCACGGATCCAGTGAAAGCCGCAGGGGCCGTCGACCCTAAATCCTTGCAATAAACTCTAATCCCTCCCCCCCAGGTTTAAAGCCTCCCCTAATATGAAAACCTTCCGACTCCGGAATTTTGCGGTTTCGGGCCAAGGATTGCAAGTTAATCAAAAACATTAAGGGGGGTAGCCAGGATCGTATGAGTTTTAATAGCGGCAAGACTACAGTAGCACGGATCCAAAAGAACGGCTGTGTGACTGCTGGCTGTTGTGTCTCTATCTATCTGATTATCTCTCTACCTACCTCTATCTAGCTGATTATCGCTTTAAGTACCTGTCTGACTGACCCACAAACCCTAAACCCCAAGCCCTCAAGACAGAAATAAATAGAAATTGCTTGCTACTGTTGGCCATCCGGAAACGTATTTGCGGTCGGGACGCAACCTTTCTAATTTCTATAAACCATGCAATTTCTATTTGGGTATTTCTCCAAATTAGGGACCCTTTTTGGGTCCCCAAAATAGTACGGACCTCCAAAGGGACCCTACTTTAGAGAGCTACCCTTTTCAGAATTAATCAAGTCAACCCAAACCCACCCGCGAGCCCGCAGCCCAGGCGCCCAGCCCAGCCGAGACCAGCCCATACCCTGGCCCACCCCCAGCCCAGCCCCAGCCCGATGTTGGGTTTTAGGGATTTAGGCTTTAGGTTTTAGGGTTTGAGGGTTGAGGGTTTGAGGCTTGAGGATTTGAGGGTTTTGGGTTTTAGGGATTTAGGGATTAGGGTTTGCGGGTTTAAAGTTTGAGGTTTTAGGGCTTAAGGGTTTTGGGTTTTAGGTTTGATGATTTAGGGTCTTGAGTTTTAGGCGTTTAGGTCGTAGGGTTTGAGGGTTTGAGCGTTTGAGGTGTGAGGGTTTGAGGGTTTAAGGTTTAGGGTTTTGGGTTTGAGGGTCTATGGTTTATGGTTTGGGGTATGTAATGCATAAAGGTTCACAGCTACAGTACTTGTATCGGGGTACGTCTTACCCTACTGTAACTACCCCTGAGCCTTCAAGCCCTAATCCCTAAACCCTAAACCCCAAAGCCCTAGTTCCTAAACCCGCGAGCCTTGAAGTACACCGGTTCACTTTAATGCCGAAGCCAGGGAGGCGCAATAGAGTCGAGTTTGCAATCTCGAAACAACCACAACACTCGGGGGAACCAGGTCAGGTTTAGGGCTTTATGGTTTTAGGGTTTCAGGGTTTCAGGGCAGGGTTAGGGTTTAGGGTTTCAGGGCTTTTTCACGTTCACAGCATCCCAAAGTTCCTGGTCAATTCTCTTGCAGAGGCAGCGAGGAGACAAGTGCCGCCTACCGGGCACACCCCTCTTTGGAGGGTTTAGGGTTTAGAGTTTCGGGTTTAGGGTTTAGGGTCATCGCGGGCCTGAAACCATAGTCTGACTTCTACGACCACCTGCCTTGAGTTAGTTCTAGACATTATCAACTCTGCACCCTAAACTACCTGCCCCCAAGCCACGAACTATCCCTTAACCTTTAACCCTAAACCAAATCTAACCCTTAACCCCCTCACCCCTAAACGATTGAACCCCAAAGCCAAGACTAATCCCAAAACCAAGCGTAGACACTAAAACCCTAAACCCTAAACCCCGAAACCCCTAAACCCTAAACCCCTAAACCGTACACCAAGAGAACCTAACCCGTAACCCTGAACCCCTGATAAATCTCGCCTGCGACAGAAAGAGGGCCCATTCACTTAAAAAAAGCCCCTGATAGCTAAACCCCTAAACCCTAAACCCTAAACCCCTAAACCCTAAGTTCCATAAGGCCCTAAACCACTTAAACGCCCCTGATACAGCCAGGAAAGAGTTGGATCAAGACGGGCCGAGGTTTGAAGGTGCCAGCGGGGCGACTCTAGGGTTCTAGGGTTTAGACGGTTTAGGGTTTAGGGTTTAGGGCCTCTAGGGTTTATATAGGGAGGTTTAAAGTTGAAAGGTTTTGGGGTTTGGCTCTGAGGGGTTTTTAGGTTTTATAGCGTTTAGGATTTGGAACCCTAAACCCTAAACCCTAAACCCTAAACCCTAAACCCTAAACCCTTTTGGGATCTTGGCTCTCAGGGTTGAGGGACGTTTTGAGGAATTCAGGGTCTGTATCGGGCCTTGCCGTTTTGGAGTTTAGGGGACGGGCCTTTCGGGATTTACGGTTCAAGGGTATTTTGGGGTTAGGGTAGGGTTTTGGATTTCGCTTCTTGTCTGGCTTTTGCTTTTCGCATGGGTGAAAAGGGTGTTTTCTGAGAAAAAGGGGGTGGAGGTCTCGGGCTACAGCGTTTATAGGGTTTAGGGGTTTAGGGTGTAGGGCTCCTACCTACGCTTTAGGGCTTCAGGTGTAGTGCTATCCTCTCTCAACACTTTGAAATGTCCTTTTCGCAGATGTTCTCTCTGCAAAGAAGCAAACCCTGCACCCTATAAACCCGCAAGCCATATTGGTAATTCTCTAACATAGGGTCTCTTTATTATGTCATTTATACAAACCACCCTAAGAGGGACCCTCATTTAGATAACTGCCCATATAAACTTGCTCCCGTTGTAATGCATACAGGTCGGCCGCTACCACCGTCATGTGCTTGATCGCAGACGGTCATCCTACTGAGTTTTCAGAGGGCCGCCCTGCAGCTGGAGCCCCCAATGTCGGAGCGAGGTTTAGGGCTTAGGCTGGCCTCATAAAGAAATCCGGGCTTCAGGGAATCAGAGGCCATTTAAGTTGTAGGGTTCGCAAGGGTTCGTTTTTCGTATTGAAGGGTTCAGGGGTACAGCATGAGAAATGCCAGGACACCAACCTTCCTTGCAGCCTCTCTTCCCCTGATTATAGGCGCCTAGGGTTCAGGCAGGGTCTGGGTTTTAGGGTTTTGAAAAGCCCTAAATCCCTGCAGCCTTGCAAACCTTGACCAGCCTATATTGGCCTTGCAGCTGCAGTCTTTCCACCTAGCAAGTTAATTCGATTCCACAACATAGCAAGCATGCTTGCTTCCGTGGGTTTCTGTCTGGAAGCTCAGCCTTTAAGGTTTAGAGACAAGTTCCGTGTCTAAGGTTTCATATAATTAGCGTTCTGGCTACAGGAGCTTGCGGAAACCCACCCAACTTCACTGCGAGGTCTCTTGAGGTGCGGAACAGCTAGGTCAACAACACAGAGAATCCTGAAATTGCTAGTTGGTAGGTGCTTGACCCTGAACTAAACCCCGAATGCCGTTCATTTGATACGGTCGGTTGTTGCTCCAAACCTCACTGCTCGCCAACTCTGCCAGGAATTCAATGCACGATATATCCTATGGGCAACTTGTACGGGATGTCTGAGAGAGATCATACGACATCCCAAAATCATGCAACAACTTACAACTACACACCCCAGCCCTTTGAACCGAGTCCCAGAGCATACAAAACTACGCAGAAAAGCCCGCGAGCTCGACAGCTCCGTTTGGCATCCGGCCAAGATGCGAAACACCAACAGATTTCGAAATTATTTTTAGAATTTATCTGTTCAGGGTTACCGATAAAGGAATATATATGAACAAAAGGACAATAAACGACCACCCTCCCTGCTGATTAGGATATTATACTGATTAAGATATTATAAATAAATGAAAAATATTGGAAGAACATGATCAATTTTTTTTTTAAAGATACGAATATAAATTCATTAGAATTTAATATTCGGATCTAAAAAATGGATCATACTGAATTCCGTTATTAAGATAGGAATGTCTCATAAAATAAATTAATATGATCATAGATATATAATATATATAAATAAATCTGATATGGGAATTTCCGAATATAAGGGCCAATTATATTGAGATTTTTATGATAAGGATCTTATTATTTCGGGGATTATATTAGATTCTCCTATATTTAGAAATTCCATATATATATATTTTTTTTTATTTAT